AGAGGCTGAACGGGGGCGGGCAGGGGCGCGGAATGGAGGTGCGGACTGGGAGAGCGGAGCGCGGGGAAAGGCGGGCGGAGATACAGCGCGGCGGGGTGAGGCCCGCTCCCGGCAGGGGTTCGATACTGTACTGTACACGTGTACATTTAGATGTACTGTGGGGCAGAGGGGGGGGGACGGCGGATCGGCGGTGTGTGCGGCCACAGGCGGCGGAGGCGAGGGCGGGGAATGCGGGGTGGCGTATTGGGGCGGGCGCATTGGTGGCGCTGGAAAGGCGGCGCGTGGGGCGGCGGGGCCCCCCAGTGTCTACACGACAAGTGGCCGGGTCTGAGGCTGGTTTTCGAGTGATAAAAAAAGTACCCTTGGTATTGTTTTTCTCGACGTGCGCTTGCTCAACGGGAAGGGACTGAGATACGCTCGCCACCGCAACTGAGAGTTGGGCGTTGCGGAAGTGCGGAAGGGTGGGGTTTGGTGAGTTTTGCACGTCTTTTGCAGGCATTGTTAGAATGGGTAAAAAGTTTTTACCTAAAAACCAAACCTTTTTGACCAACCTCAAAAACCTTTTGCCTTGATATCTTTGAAAGCAAAGGCGTGTTTAAAATTTAAACTTTAAATGTCACCCAGGTATTGAAACTTGAATAGATTCTTAGTCGTTCCGTGTCTTGCTAACTGTTAAACATGAATAGATTCTTAGTCCTTCCGTGTCTTGACATCAAGACATCAAGACACGGAACGACTAAGAATCTATTGTCAACAACTGGTATCGCAATATCCTGCAAGATGGTACACCGCCAAGAGGGCATGTACATGTACAGTACATTGTACGTTAAAGAAATGGCGTCCAAGCGATTTAACATACAGTATAACTTTTTGCAAAAAAAAAAGGGTGCCGCCAGATGAGGGCATGCCCGCCCTCGCATCGCCCTCCCATGACGCGAAAACGCGCATGTCGTCAAGAGTCTGGACGACATGCGCGTCTTGACTCACTCTGACAAGATGAGGGCATGCCCGCCCTCGCATTGCCCTCCCATGACGCGAAAACGCGCATGTCGTCAAGAGTCTGGACGACATGCGCGTCTACCCAAGGGTAGGGCCAGTCCTAACAAAGAACTTTCCTCTCGCTTGACTCAAGACACGCCCAGTACCGCGTGCGGGGCAGCAGGGCGTGCGGGGGCGCGCCGGCGGCGAATCAAGCGGCCCCGCGCGCCATTCCCACACGCGGCGTCGCGCGACCGCGCCCCGCTGCCGCGCCGCTCGCGCGCGCGCATCGCTGCCCGAGTGCACTCGCCCGCCCCGCGCGGACACGCGGCAGGCAGGCGCGCGGGCACGGGACAGACGGGGCTGTCGAAGGAGGGGGGGGGGCGCGCGCTGCTGCCGTACGCCCCGGCTTGTACAACGCGCGCTTGTACTGGACACTGCCCCCCCGGGGGGGCAGTCGACCCTGCTCTGGTGTCGATCCGGCCGCGGGCTATTTTATTTCTTTTCTAGTTTTCGTGTGCTCGGATTCTTTTCTTCCTTGGCCTGGTCGACTCTTTTTTTAACCGGATAGAACGCCCTCTGCTGGTGTAACTTTAAGCCAACCATCGCTTTTCAACACGAGTTGGTTGTCGGTACAACCGACACGCAAGTGCTTTACGTGTAGCGATGGCGATGGCCTTTGTGGTTTCAGACAAAGCGCCTTGTCTAGGAAAAAAACGCTCCGATACACACCACTCCGGAGAGCTGGGGGGACACCGGTGTAAACCTTCTCCCGGACTGTAACGTGCGCGGGGCGCGGTCGCGACCGTACACCGCTTGCCGCCCCCTTCCGCCGCGCAGCTCCCGTGCTCACCATCATCCGCCGCCAGCGCCCGCGGCCCATACCACCCCGCATCCCCTCCCGCCCGTCCGTCCCTCGGCGAGGCAACCGTCTCTGCCCGCGTCCCTTCGCGCCGGCCTTGCGCAACCCCCGCCCCAGCCTTGATAAATACATGACCTTCCGGCACGCACAACCGCGGCGTCCGCCCAAAACAAAAAAAGCCGCATACATGACCTTCCGGCACGCACAACCGCGGCGTCCGCCCAAAACAAAAAAAAGCCGCGATCGCGCGCGCCCCGCTACCGCCACTTTGCGATCGTCTTAACCACGCCCTGATGCCTCCCGCCAGCGGCGGCGCGCGCGGCGCCGGCGCGATCCCCCCACCGCCTTCGGCGCGCCCACTTGTTGCCCTTGTTGCCCTCAGCGTCGTCCTTGCGCGCGCCCTCGGCGGCGAGCACGCCACCGCACAGCGCGGCGAACCGCGCGCACACCTCCTCCCACGGGCGCCCGGGCAGCCTCCGCCGTGCCTCGTCGGCCTGCCGCCCCGCGTCCGTGCCGGTCATCACGTCGGCCACGACGCAATCGTCCGCGTGCGACCACCCGGCCGGCCTTTCCCGGCGCGGCGG